GCGACGGAGAGGAAGGATTGCTGGTAGGAAGAGGTGCGACAGGAGGGAACTATGAGGTTTAGGGGAGAGGTTCTGGAGGCGGAGCGGGAGCTTGTATGGAAACGGAGGTCACGGGAGAGGTAGGAAGGGGTAGAAGAGCGAAGGACAGTGAACAGGAAGCAACAAGTGAGATAGGCTCTTCTGTCATCCGCCATCAGCCATCCGAGCCTCCGGTAAAAGCCAGAGATATGCTCATCTCTCCGCAGCTCAAAAATGAAGCGGACACATGCGTTCATCAGGCGCCTGAGCTTTAGCTTCTGCTGGCCCGTAAGATCTGTGAACACAGCAGCACAGTAATCGAAGAAAGGGAAGATCAGGGAGGAGACCAGACGAGCACGCAAGGAGGTCGATAAGCTACCCCTGTGGTACTTCAACCTCCAGAGCGCGCCGTTAACCCTGCTGGAGATGAGTCGAACATGCTCCGACCAGCATAGGGTCGGAGATAAGAAGACCCCGAGGTTTGTGACTCCATCGGCAAGCTCAACGGGAGCGCCCTGAATAAAGAATCGAATGTCATGCTGCTCGCGGATTCTATTGACAAACCGGGCGCTGCCAAGCAGCATTGCCTTGGTCTTTCCGCCGTTGAGCAGCAGACGGTTGGCCGTGGCCCATCTCTCGATGGCATCCTCCCTGATCCGGTCCACCGCGCCCTCGAGATCGCTAGGGTCGAAGTGGAGATAAATCTGCAGGTCGTCGGCATAGAGGATGTGCTTGCAGAACCTGAGGGTCCGCCTCAAGTCATTAATAAAGAGTATGAAGAGGAGGGGACCTAGGACGGAACCCTGAGGAACGCCGGCCAGCACCGGAGCCCATGATGACCACTCATCCCGCGACCCGCGGACCCTCTGAGCGCGGCCGGAGAGATATGAGCGGAACCAGTCAAGTGCCGAGCGCGAGAGACAGAAACCCTTCAGTTTTCGTAGGAGGAGGTCATGGCAGACCGAGTCAAAGGCCTTGGAAAAATCGAAAAGTATTAGCAGGGTGACCTGCCGCTTGTCAATGGCCAGTCTGACGTCATCCGTCAGCCTGACCAGAGCAGTCTGGGTGCTGTTCCCAGGCCTGAACCCAGTCTGCATGGGGTCGAGCAGGTTAAGATGACTGAGGTGGGCAGAGAGCTGGTCAAAGGCAATCCGCTCGAGAATTTTGGAGAATTGGGAGAGGAGGGAAATGGGACGAAAATCAGAGAGAGACGTGGGAGATTTGGATTTGGAAAGAGGAACGACATGAGATAATTTCCAAGCGGAGGGGAAGGATGAGGAGTTGAACGATGCATTGAAGATGTCGAGGAGCAGGAAGAAAATTGCAGGAAGGCTGTCCCTGAGGAGCCGCGGCAGATACCGTCCGGGCCCTTGGAGTTAGAGGAGCTTTTGCGGAGGGCCTTGCTGAGGACCTCAGGAGTGACATGTTGGAAGAAAAACAGTTCAGGAACGGTGGCAGGAGGAGGCGCGGAAGGAGAAGGGACAGAGGAGACGGAAGGGGAAGAGGAAAGGCGATGGATAGGCGATCTTAGAAGAGGAGTATCGAGGGATGGGGAAAGATGCGCAGTGGTAAAGAAACGATTCATGTCGTCGAGAGAAAAATCGGGGGGAGGAGCAGAGGATTTGGATTTAATGAGACCCAGCGCGCGAAGCTCAGACCAGAGGCGTGAGGAGTTAAAGGATGGATTGAGGCGCCGAAGTAAGTAGCTGGTTCTTGCAGCGCTGACAAGCGCCGCTACCTCGTTGCGGAGAAGACGATAAGCCTCAAAGTGAGCATGAGAGGGGTGGCGACGAAAGAGACGTCTCGCAGCCTCACGTCGGCGCATACAGAGCCTGATGTTCCGGTCGAGCCACGGAGCAGGGGGCCTTTTGGCTGAGAAAGAGTGGAAGGGGGCATAAGCGTCGTAAGTAGCGAGTAGGTGGTTAGTGAGAACATCAACCCTCTCATCGACCGTGGAAGTCCGGGCAAAGATAGACCAGTCCAGGGAGCGGAGCGAGTCAAGGAACGGGCCCAGCTGAAAGTTGGAATAGTCCCGACAGGTGATCATACGAGGGGGCATGCGAGGAATTAGTACATTTAGGGAGATCTCGATGAGGTCATGCATGGATAGGAAGGAGAGGGAGTCTTGATGAAAAGATGAGATGAGAGACCGATCGCTCAAAAGGCAGTGGTCGATTCGAGTATGAGAGTGAGCAGTGTGATGAGTGTCAGCGAAGGGGACGAGATACAAATGGAGAGCCTCACATGAGTCCAAGAAGGAAGTAGAGTCAAAGGTGGACACGTTGACGTCGATATTAAAATCCCCTATGACGACAGCCGCAGAGAAAGAGGGATGGAATCTCTCGAATTCGGCCCAGAAAAGGTCTAAGTACTCGATCTTCGGAGGACGGTACACCGTTGCGAGAAGAAACGGACGGCATCTCGGAGCGACCACTCGAAGTAGCAGGTACTCTGGTTGCGCACAGTAAATTGCAGGAGACGAGGTCAAAATCTGGGCGCGAATATCGTAACGCACGTAAACGCCAATCCCGCCACCCCCCCTTCCCTCCCGGTCATGTCTGAGAAGTCTATATCCGGGGAGTACGATGAAGGAATCCGGAATATGAGGCTTCAGCCAGGTCTCAGACATGGCTATAATATCGTAGTGATTGTTAGAAAAGAAGTGACAAAATTCAGCGAAGTGGGGGAGAAGAGACTGGCAGTTCACGTGGCAGATACGCAGGGGAGCACAAGCAGGCGGCGATAGAGAAGCGTGTCATTCACCGCGCGGCGGCGGCCGCCCAGGGACGGCGCACGAGGATACCGCCGAGCCCCTCCCGCGAGCGGAGGAGGGCGGCGGCAGAGCAGCGCGAGAAGGACGCGCTGAAGACACTATGCCGGAGGGCCCCGCAGCCCTCACCCCGGGCGCCGCCGAGAGAAGCGGATCGCAGTCCGAAAGCCCGCAGACAGGAGGCCCCAGCGGGGGAGAAGAAGGCCCGGCAGCCCCAGTCGAGGCTAAGGGAGCCCGGGCAGGAGGCAATGCGGGGGGAGGAGAGGGGCCCGCCGGCAGAGAAGGGGCACGCGCCCCAAGATGGAGCCCCAGATGTTAATTCAGATAGATGCGCCTGGTCGCGAAGACGTATGGAGACAGTGTTGGGATGTAGTCTAACGCGAACAAATCCGTCGCGCACCCAAGCATGGTGGAGATGCCCCTCGCGCAGCGCGCGCCTCGCATCACCCAGAAGCCGCCTCGCAGGACCCGATAGCCGCTCGTTGATCTCGATCCGGAGATCCCCAAGTGAAGGATCCACCTCCGAGCCATGAAGAACACCCCTGGCTCTCTTCGCATCAATCCAGCGTTCCTTACCGCATGCGTGGACAGCCTAACCACCAATGGCCGCGGGCGATCCCCGCTCGCCCGGATCCTCCACGCCGAGACGATGTCACCCGGCGAGACCTCGATCCCAAGGGTACCAGCAATGAGGGCAGCAACGGTCTCCGGGGATTCAGAAGGCAGATCCTTGACTCCAAACAGGATGAGTTCAGAGTCGCGCATCCTCCGCTCGAGCACCTCTATCCGGGATACAAGGCCAGACTCAGAGCGGGGATGCCCCCCGGGAGCAGACTCAAGGGTTCGAATCCGCTCGTCCATACCAGCACGCCACTCCCGCAGCTCCCGGACCTCCCTCGACAGAGCATCGGTCCTGGCGGTGATGACTCCCACCGAGGCTCCAACCTCGCGCACACTTGTTTCCAGGGAGTCAAGCTGAGACTTGGTGGCCAGCTCCCTGATCGATGCCTCCATCCCGGAAATCTTCCGAACTAGCACCGACATGAGGTCCTTGAGAGAAACCTCTTCGGCTCCGGGTGAGTCTGTGGCCGTGGGGGAGAAGGATCCAGCCACCGAAGGGCCCCGGGCAGAGGGGCAGGAGAGCGCCTGGGTTTTGCAGATAGGGCAGAGAAGGGGAGCGGTAGCGTCGGACGCGCCAGTTAGCCCACGGACGCATTCCTCGTGGAAGGCATGTTTATTCGTACGCTCGCAAAGAGACGCACAAGCCGCCGAAATAAACCTCTTGCAGATCCCGCATGCGGGCGTCATGGTAAATCAGCAAGCTGATCAATAGCGACAAACCTGGGTAGCCAATAAGAGTGTAAGCAGTGATGACAGGCGCGTAATGGAGGCAAGCAGGTAATGGCGGCAATGGCAGTGATCGGCAGTGTTGGCAATGATAGGCCGCGTTGGCAGCACTGGCAGGGAGAAGCACAGGTGTAGCATGCGAGTGTAGGTGCAGCCGAAGGAGCGCATGCGCGGACGAGAGCTCACGAAGATGGATGCC